ATTTTGTAAAAATTTGAATTATCTTTGGATAAGATCAAGTAAATTAGAGTTGCTGGCGCTGCGCCGGCGGCTGTTCGACAACAGCGTGCTGGAGCCCAAGGTGCGCACGGGCCGGCTGCAGCACACGGACCACCCCGAGCAGCCTTCGCCCGAGCCGAGCGCCACGCCGCTGCCCCTCACCACGCCGCTCATCGCGGCCTTCGACCGCTGGCACCGCCTGCGCGACACGTAAAGCATTGAGGGATACCCACTCCTTCTTTAACCTGTCCTGGCCGCATGACGAAGATGCAGTGAATGAAAACTGAAGAACAGGTGCATTAGGCATGGGGTATTTTGTTTAAATGGGGACCATTTTCAATAGTGGTCAGTTGTTGCAGTAAAAGTACCACTCTGTCATGCTTGCGAAACAGTCATATTAATTACCTGACAAGTGTACCACTGGTGTACCGATTATTTTATGTGACACTCAATAAACGGATGTAATGTTATATCGTCTTGGGTGGTTTTTGAAATGCATGCTGAATAAGCACCTGTCCTGCAACACTTTTCACCTGCATTATTTCTGAAGTTGCTCCTGATTTATTATTTTATTTTAATTTATGTGCTGAAAGTGTTTCTAATTAACATTGTGTCTGATGTTCCTTAAAGTTTATATGACACAGTATACCACGGTGATTTAGAAAAAGAGATTGATGCATTGAAATTGTTTCACTTTGATGCAATAGTACCTTAATTTTTTGGCACCGAACCTTTGTACATCATACATCTTGTAATGCTTGAAGGTTAATGTCACTTTTTCTCGTACTGCACTGTGACATACTTCAGCACACTGCATGGGAAACCATTGAAGGAAACAAGTTTGTGGCCACTTTGGGCTGCGCACTTCAGGTTGCATAAGTCATTGAAAATTAATTTGTTCGCCTTACCCTCTGTTATCAAATTCCTCTCAGAATTTACTCTGGAGGCACTTAATGTTCAAGGGGCATAACTATCCAGTATATTTTCTTAAACTGCATGGAAAACAGAGCCAGAAAACCAGGCTGTGCACTGAGTAGAGTCAGTTAGTTAATGTCTGTGATTTTTTAAAAAATCTCATCCACATTGACAATTTTTAGTGAGGGAAGCGGGAGGAATCAGAGGCAAATATATAACAGAATGTGCAGTATAATTGGCGAAGCGCGTGGTTAGCTTGGCCCTTTAAGAAAACGTAACAGTACACGAATAACTTTGCAGAGAGATCACTGCCTCTCCTGACTTGAAGCTGAAGTTCAAGAAGGATACATGGCGGAGGCAGCTGGTTAGCACAATGACAGCGAACTCATCCCCGGCTGTGGAAAAGTAGACAAAAGTAGGGGTCACTTGAAGTACTTTACAGTATATTCAGAACATAGCACTGCTTCAATACGAACCTTATGGTTGTTTGGAGACCGTTTGTTAGCAATCATGGCGGAGGCAGTTGGTTAGCACATTAACAACAAGTCATCCCCGGCTGTGGAAAAGTGGACAAAAGTAGGGGTCACTTGAAGTACTTTACAGTACATTCAGAACATACCACTGCTTCAATACGAACCTTATGGATGTTCGGAGGCCGTCTGTTAGCACAAATACAGCAAGTTCTCCACTCCAGTCCTCCTGGGCATGCGGCGTAGCCTGTGGAAAATAATGGCTGTTATTAAAATGACGAGAAAATTAGCAATACAGTAGCATATTGTTAGGGTGACCTCAGACATAACTCGTGAGCACAACGCAGCATAAACCATTGTTCGGGACCTGGAAGTTACTGGCTGAGGTCTTCATGGGATGCCATGAGCCATTTGAGTAGTTGTCGATTTTTTTTATCAGTATGTGCTGGGGAGAAGTAGAGTAAGTGTGAACATGTGTCGGGAGCACGGCCACGCATTTATGATAGCTGCCATTAATCTACAAGTAGCTCAACACATCAAGGGACATAGACAAAAGTTAGAAGAAGTCACTTTGTGAGTGGGTGTTTGAAGCGTGGAAAGCCTGGATGCAACGTATTGGCTGCCAGAAATACGACAATGTTGCTGGGGCCAGATCTTACTTGCCACAGAAAGGAATACGAAGCGGCCAAATGTGTAAATTCGGTATCCTGCTGTCAAGTTAATGAATGACTGTGGGTGTATGATAGGTTAAGTGCCGCGTTGAACGCTTTTCGATTTCATCACTGGTCGGACATTGACTTCTGGACATAGTTCACAGGTAGCATGTATATTTACCTTGATGTATGGGCGGACTCGTTGCTCCGTTGCCCTCGGCGGTGACGTTGACGTTGCCAACGACCATTCCACGCTGGGTCACCTGTCTCCTTCTCCACCTCCACCACCGCTCCCAACTGACGTGACGTGGCAGCTTTGGGGACGGGACGGGACGACGGGCATTGCCAACGGCTGCAACAAAAATACAGATTGTATAAGTCGAAATTTCACACTCTTTACGGGGGTCTAGTCAGTAATAACGTGCCTCCAAGGCTCAGCAGCGGCGGAAACACATGCAGAAAGCATGACTGCCATGACATGTCAATAGTTCGCGATGGCGTGCCGTTGGCATGCCTGGAAGTGTGGTGCGTTTGAACGACTTGGCCGGGGTATGGCGTAATTTGCAAAGATTAACAGATGAAGTAGTCTCCTGCGGCCACTGTCTACTATGTTTTCTTAAACTGCAAGAAAAACTGACCCAGAAAACAGGGCTCTGCCGTCTGTAATGTCAAGTAGTTAATTTCTGTATTTCTTTCCAAATCTTACTGCTATGTAAAATTTTAAGTCCTAATGGTTCATCTAATTTGTTCTCGTACTTGATTGTGATATATATTTCTGGAAACTAGAAGAGAAACCATTGTAGGAACCAATTTTGTTCCCATTGTGGCCCAGATACTTTTGATTTTATAAGAATATCAAAATATGCCTGACACTATAAAGTGATGTTACGAGTGTTTGCTTAAATATGACCATGGAGCAACTAAATCTGTCGATGACACCATTGTGTGGCACATTTTCTTAATCTACATGGAAAACATGGCCAGGAAAATGTAGTGTGCAGCCTGTAGGCTAAAATAGTGAATTTTGGTATTTTTTTTAAAATCTTACTGAGAACTGTCATTTTTTTTATTTTTGGCCCATACATGCTAGCACAGTCGTTCCTCTCCCTTCATAACTGCAACCAAAGGGACATGTTAAGCTGTGCCATAGGTTGAAGGAAATATGGGAATCTGATCTCACTGTTGTTTAATTTTTTGGCACCGAGCGAGCTATTGTATGGCATGCAAATTATAATTCCTAATGGTCACTGTCAATTTTTCCTGTGCATTACTGTGACATACATTTGTATAAACTACAGTAGAAACCACTGAAGAAAACAGTTCTGTGGCCACTGCAGGCTGCTCAGTCCTGGTTTTATAAGTCATTGAAAATATTTTGTTTGCCTTCAACTCTGTTACTGATGCCTTCTCAGAATTTACTCCGGAGGCACCTACTGTTCAAGGGGCATAACTGTCTAGTATATTTTCTTAAACTGCATGAAAAACAGAGCTAGTAAACCAGGCTATGCACTCAGTTGGGTCAGGTAGTTAATTTCTGTACTTATTTCAAAATCTAATGAACATGTATTATGTTTATTTCTCCCACACTGTACAACAAAGGAACCTACTCACTAATATTTGTATAGGATCTGCAGCTCTTCAAGCAGTGATGCAATGACAGGCACACAAAAGGAACGACCAATAAGTTGCCTCCTCGCAGAGAGGCTGAGGTCTCCTGTGTCAGTCCAGGAGCGGGAGTAACCAAACAGGACCTCCAATTCAGTGAGTCTCAGGTACGATTCCTTCCCATTGGCTTGGCGGACGGGGCGCCGACCATCAGCACACCTTTGAGAGGCAGGATTCGTTGTTATTGTCTGCAACTTTTTCACAAGGGCAGTCCTTCCGGGCTCTAGAAAGTCTTGCAGAATCAGTGAGGTTGATTGTTTTTGTCTTCCACCTAGTGTCAGGCTGGACAGGTTCCCCCCAAAAAATCTGTGAATGACAATGCAGCAGTGAGTACCATGATCAATCAGAAGTACCAGTATAAATGTTACGGATTGAAGGAGTCATACCTGGGCCTCCTCATGGGCACAAACTCTGAACTGCATACGGTAACTGGGCGGAGACCTCCAAAGGACCTTACCATAGCCAAGCGGGTACAACGGTCCATAGAACTGGTGTTCTCAAACAACCAGAAGAATTTCCGTCCAGCTCTCTCTGCCTGCAACTGGAAGAAGTTTTTAATCCGTACGTAATGGAAGAATAGTGGACCACTGCCATTCTTATCCCATAGACCCTTCCGCAGAGGATTCACTCTACTGAGATCCTGGCAGGGCGAGCCGCCAAGGACAAGGTGGGGGGCAATTCCAGATCGTTCGAGTGCCTCATTTGTGAGGTGAAGTACACTCCCGAGCTGGATAGCTTGGGGCACATGCCGTTCTTGTACTTTTATGCAGTTGTCATCAATTTCTGCCGTGTAGTACGATTGTATACGAATTCCAAGCCTAGTAAGAGCTGCATATGCACCACACACGCCATCAAATAAGCTCACCACACAGAGGCCTGCATCACCACCCTGAAAGCATAACATTCAGTTACTCTTTATTCATACCTTTCTTTGTTGTGGCCTGCGCAGCCTCATGACTCACCTGGTTACATGACACATTATCGAAACCTAGGAAACCATCATCAGGCTGCACATACTGCTCAATGACTGGCTCGGCAGGCGGTGTAACTCATCCTCTTCGACGGACGACGAATCTTGCTGTTCATGCTGCGTAGGTCGATACCTGCGCTTCCATGCTCCATACCATCGGTGCCTTTTGCGAGGAGCTGTCAGAAATTTGCGAATACTGCGCCTGCCCATAATTGGTGATGTTAGTCAGCAGTCAGGGCGTCTCGAACGGACTGCTGTCTGATTTGCGACGCCAAGCCAAGCCAGTAGGGTGGGTCTCCAAACAGGGGGACAGATAAGGTGGGCTCTGAAACACAAGACAGTGACTGAGAGTAAAATGACGAAGGTTACTGGCAACACAACTCACGGGACACTTACTGTGCCTAGATAACACCGACGTGACTGAGTATAAGTCTACGTGTGGAGACACCAGTGCATTTCGTTGGTTCTCAAAACGCAGAACGCACACGAACGCGCACGACCATGTATGAAGCATATGACACTTGCAGCAGACGACTTGTGTAAAGGACGTGGAGGTTATGGTCGGGCCTGTCAGAGGAGGGGCAGGATGGGTTGGGCGGGGTGGAGGGGGCGTGGAGCATGGACCCCCCACCATCAGTTGTGACGGATGGCGCCGCGTGGCAAATTCGAAACACACATTCTGTGGTAAAATGTCACATTGGTGATTCAGAATTCATCCGGCACGGACACACGTAACATCCGATATAGATGGGCGAAAGTCATCCGAAACTGATAACGAAGCACCACACATACAGAGTATTCTTACAGCCGATAGGGGGAGGCTGAAACATCCGTTAAGCGGCACACATTACTCAGTTCCCGGAGGGAAACTCATCCGATTTAGAAATCCACAATTCATCCGTCATGGGCGGGATGAAGGGGTCTACGTTGGCTCATGTTACACCAATTTCTCACAGGTAGTAAATAGCACCGATGAGGCCGGAAATACTACCCCGGACCCCCTTTTTCATCCGTTTCGACTAACAGTGCAGGACGGCGAGAGCACGCCGCTGGCGGCCGGGGTGCGGCACGCCCCCGCCGCGGCAGCGCGTCGTCCGTCCTGTCGCTGCTGGCGTGCCGCCTGGCCTGGCTGCGGCTGCAGGCGCAGTGGTACGCCGCCGACCCCACCCCTCCCTTCGGCCCTCTGCGTGGAGACTAGATAAAGGAGGAAGGAGATCCACAGCCCTGTGGGCCAGCATAGGCGACCCGTGTCCCTGCCAAATTGCACTCTGCGGTCGGGCGCTTCGGCTCTTGGTGTACGTCGGGCCGCCTTCGGCTCGAGAGCCGGAAGGCGGGCCGGGGCCGCGAGCTGCGCTCGGGAGCGGCCGCCTGCTGCGGTGATGACGCGCGTCAACGCAGATCATT